TATTTAAATTTATATTTACATAATGTTAGTGAGTGAGTGTGTTTGTACGTGTATCTATAAGCAGTAGAGCAAGACATCTCGTTATATGGCTGAAACAGACCGACACATCCCTTCGTATACCCTCAGAGAACAACGATGCGAAGGAGGAGAAGATTAAAACACTACAAGAGGAGAAAGAAGTACTCAAGACCCGCGTGAAGAATATCAACGCGAAAGCACGCTCAGCCGTGTCAGAGAGGGATGCGCGGATCAAAGAACTGGAAGTGAAGATAGCCACACTCTCCCAGACCGCGCACACACCTGCTTCTGACGCCAGTGTCAGCGCTGATTCGAACACGACTACGCAGAACAGCCTACAACGGCACACATCGAACGAGTATGTGTTATCCGAACATGGGTTCACACGGCTGTCTGTGGATATTTATAACTGATTGTGTGTTTGTTTGACTTCGGAGTGTGGTTGTACTAGATCGTGGCTCAGTTCAGCGCAAGTGTGCGTGCGGCGGAATCCGGATCACTAATCTATGATATCACAGCGAGGTTCATTAATCAGCTCAACTGCTCACCCTGTATGCTTCGGATAGTCTCATCCAATATGTTCTACCCAGAAGACGCTGAGTGTGTATCTCAGATACGCACTCCACACGCCGCCTTAATTCATGTTGTTCGACGAAAGTAGTGACAAGACTGTGGGCATTGTCAATTCACACAAATCATCCAAAGAATTGAAAATATGCAGCTCACTCGCTTACTAAACATTCAATTAAGGATGATACTATTTAGAGGAACAAAATTCTCAAGCTCGTTTCAATCTAGGTGTTGTCTAGGCCACTCAATTATTTATAGTGATAGTACAAACAGAGCCAATAATATCTAGTATTGTATGTATATGGATATAATCGCTTATCCATGTATCATGTGTATAGCATTCCAAAAAAAGGAATCCGTGTGTACATATACCGCCCCCTGACAACGTACGATCGCGCATACACTTTCACAGCACTGACAGCGCGAGGGAAATCAATGACCTGCTCACGGAGAAGAACAAGTTACAGAGCGAACTCCTTCTGGCCGAAAACGCTTTGAGGAAACAACAAGAAGAATCCTCTCATCTCCAGAAGGTAATTGTCGTAGTTAATCAAAAACAACGCTGACGTATACAAAGATTGTATGCACGTGGCAACCCAATGTGTGACTGTCGATGATAACCAGTAAGTGACTGAAATTGGCGGCAGTGTACGTGAAAGTGCTCACCACATACCTCCTAGTGTGGCCGGTACTTTCACGGACTATAAATGAATAAGTAATATGTGTATATGCGGTACGACATAGTATCAATAGCCTGCGTGTGTGTGGTAGTGTTCACCTCAACTACACACCTTTACAAAACTAATACGTGTGTATTATCTAAACGTGGGACAGTTGATGCTTACCAGCTCGTGCATATAGAAAGTGGTCAACCACTCGCTATTTGCACATACAGTTGATTGCACTCGGTAAAGGCTGTCCCCAACAGTTGAGCTTGCTGATATCCATAGACATGATAGACATGGTATTCGTATTCCTAGATACACACTACCACATTAATCACGAGTATATGAGGTATGTATTCTGATTTTTCTCATTTTGCACTTCTCTTTGCAAAAATTGCACAGGCGCTGGAAAGGGAAATCAATCAAGGGGTGGGCAAAGACTATGAGAGCATGGTCCTCAACATGAAGAATGAGCTCATCGAAAAGGATGCTACCATTGCGGAGATTAAGGTGAACTTTCACGAACTATGTGTTGTATGAAAGTTGCTATAGGCATACATCGTATCGTATGTGCCTAGGTGTAGCAAAGGTCCTATGCATATATGTATAT